AGAGTGGAAAATGAGGATGGAAGGGGATGACAGGTAGGTAGCATAAAATATGACTTAATGGAAAGGCTTTCCTGATGCACATTAACACGGGATTTTGTTAGCATGAAATGGAAAAGAGAGAAAGGGAATATGCTTTTAGTACATAGAAAGTTTAAGAAATAGATAGAGAATGAAAGATTACAGCAGGTTTCTGCCCCTGCACCTCAGACCCTGGCATTACTCGTGACAAGCCATTATTCCAATACCTGCAGGCTGAGTTGTCAAGGGGCAAGAAAATACTAACAGCAAATAGGAAATTATTTATTCTTTATAAGAATTTTTTATCCAGGGAGTGTGGGATAATTTTAGAAAATACTCCAATCCTCTGAACATGCTGTGCAAAGGAGTACACATAATGCTACGCAGTCTGAGTTGCCGATTTCCCTGTGATAACTAGAAAACAACATGAAGTATGGTGGCTTGAAACCACTATTGACTTAAGCTTCTTCTCAGCCAGGATGTACTTTCCAGGCCAATGTATCTTAATAATTGACCACTGTACGAGTCGATATCTGTTCAATGCTGTGCCTAGTGTACTTTAATGAAGTTGCAGTTATTGCAGGTATTAGCAAAATGGGACACTATCAGATAGTTTGAAAATCAGCAGTGGAATTGAGTTAGAGAAAAAGAAAAATGTCTGGGCTTTCAGGTCATCATCCTTTATTTCTGAAGGCTTGATCTCCTTCATTGTAAGGGTTTTCCTCTCTTTTCCTTTCAATGGCAGGCTCTGCCGCAAAGCGTAGATTGTGGCCAATGCCGTACGTGAGGTAGCATGCAGGGGTGCCCATAGCCCCTTGGCAGAGTAGGGCAGGGCCCCCTGAGCCGCCGGCTGGTCCCCTACCCAGGCACCAGCCTGCTTTTGGGCGTGACGGCGAGATGTGATGAGATGCCACTGCCTCTCTGCAAGCTGGCATTTGCTTCAGCACAAATTCACCAGGTTCCAAGGGATCACAGCCCTGTAACTGATCTTCTGCTCAGATCAATAGAAGTTAGGCCAGGGGTGGCAAAGTCAACCTGCAGCCCTGTCCTGCCTTGTGTCAGACTCTGCCTCAATGGAAAAAGCCTGGGTTCTACCCCAGATCCTCCAAACTCCCTTTTTGTTCAGGACAGCCTTGCAAGAGGCTGAGAGTTTTTTAATGACTGAATGTCTAAGGCAAGAAGATGCTTCTCCAGAGGTGCTGTCTGCAGAAAGAGGGTATTTCTTTCAGGCAGATTGTCAGACTTCTCACCTCAGCTGATAGTAGCGAGAGAAATGTTCTTGTTTCTGAGACTTAATTATGCATTTGCTAATTAAAATAAGGAATGTCTATTTTTGTCTAAACCAGCATATAAAGTAGACAGCATAATAGAAATGAATACCAAATTTGCATGCCTGGTTGCTGAGGCTTGAAGGGAACCTGACCAGGGTGGGAAGAGGAAAGTGAGGGCAGCTGCCCACAGGGGCAGAGCTTCACTGAGCCATTCCTAGGGGAGGAAGCCCTTTCTGGCCCTCCTCTGTGTTTTCATCTCACTGTGACCAGGCATAGAAATGCTTCATTTTTGACAAGAGGCTTCAGATCTACTCATAGATATGGGTACACATATGGACAAAGATATGCTTAATGAAGTGTATTGTTGATTGCTCATGCTTGCTCAGAAAAAGGAAGTGTGGCATGTAACCAGAGCATCTTGGCTTTACTGCAGGAAGCGAAGGTTCATTCGAAATCAGCAACACAACTGGAGCCATTTCTGTTATAAAAAGCCCAAATCAGCTCAAGAAAGAAGTGTATGAACTAAAAGTTCAGGTATGTTCTGTGGCCACTTGAAGACTGTTGGTCTCAAATGGGCAGTGAGTAGGCATGACTGTGTAAAATAGCTCAATTTATAGCTGATTTACCTGTTTTAGAAACTACCTCCTATATTTGAGCAGTGACAGATAGTATAAAAGAGAAAAAACTGCTTTTGTTCCTTGGGATATTTAGTGTCTCAAATTACTTCTTTCAAATGAAGTCATCTTGTCCTGATTTCATCTCTGAGTCTAGAGAATCCTTTGCAATATGTAGATAAGTGTTCTCGGTGTTTTCAGATTTTATTGCTAAACTGGGAATTAATGTCTTGTAACCTTCATGTGATGAGATAGGTAACTGTCAAATCTATGATTAGTAATAGGACTGGGGTAGATCATGCAATGTCATATCAGTATCCACTCCTGAAGCATTGATCAGCCACATACAAATACATGCTAACACCTTGGTGAGCTAACACCTTGGTGAGCTAACATCAGTGTGACAGGCTGCATTATTTTAAGCAGTTTCTAAAGACCAGGAGTATAAAAATGTAGAGTTAAATTGTGAGGGCTAAATCAGTTCTCTTCAAACAAATGCATATTACAACCACGAGAGTTGGTCATGGCAAGAACAATATTGTCTAAAGGTGGCTTTGAGGCCTTGCACACTGCCAGAACCAGTGTAGCATCCCCAAGGGCCCTTGCTTGCTAGGGGGCTCAAGCAGCTTGCTGAACCTGGGAGGTCACAGAGTTCCCGTTGTCCGAGTTAAACTCAGGCACCATTTCTTCCTCCAGTCTCTCTGGTTTACTGCAGTTTGCTCATGTTTCCCAGATACAGGATTAGTTAAGCCCTTGCAAGCTTTTCTGATCTCCTAGTTGTACCTGTGGTGACCCAGAGCTCGTGCAGGCTACAAAATCTGCCTGAGCAACCGAAAGGGTGTTGTGCTACCCAGCGCAGGCAGTGACAGGCGCCTCAGTTAGCAGACTAGCATCTTCAGAGAAATTCAGCAGTCTAGTGCCTTTGGTTTTGAGCCCTTTGAGCAAAAAAGCATGTTAGAGATAGCTGGTTTGTTACAAAAACACCAGCCAGAGTTTGTGTCCAGACAGAAGAGACATCTTAGGTTCAATCCAGTGAATCAGGCTGCATGTTGGAATTGTTGAAACTCAGAGTTGATCTTTCAGTTCAGAAAAATTACAACTAGGTTTGCTTGTCTGTCCTACTTAAATTAAGCTCATCTAGACAGCAAAGCAGAATTGTAAATCAGAGACTAAATCTCAAAAAAAAACCCAAAAAGTGTCCTTTTTCTTGTTCAAATATTTGCCTAAATATCACAAGTAGCTTTTCTTGCACAGTTTTTGAGGCTGCAGTCCTTGCATGCAATATGAAAATCAACTACCTGTGGTACCACAGCAAATTTAAAGATTGTCTTCTTTTTCTCTTCTGTCAACACTTTACGCAGGCAATTATCTTGCCTCTCTTAGCTTATCTGTCTTTAGAAAACTGTTTTCACCTAGGGTAAGGTGCTAAGCTTACAAAATTAGGAGGAGAATTTTTTCACTGGGGCTTTATTGGGACTGGTTTCTTATCATAATTTTCTAATCACCATAAGCTTCAGTGTGAAATGGACTGAGATTTCTAGAGAAATATAAGGCTGAGAATCTTTGTACAAGTTAGTGTGTTAGGGTCATTTGTAGATGCAGAGCAATACCTGAACATGGAACTGAAGAAAGAGAGTATACCCTCATTCTTCTCTCTCTCCTGCCTGCTGCAGGCATCAGAAGTCAGTCAGGAAGGTGACATCTCAGTGTACGCTTTTGCCACGGTGACTATACGGGTGGTTGACCTCAACAACCATCCACCAACGTTCTATGGAGAAAATGGTCCCCAGAACAGATTTGAACTGACCATGTATGAGCATCCCCCAGAGGGCGAAATCTTGAGGGGACTGAAGATTACAGTCAATGATTCAGATCAGGTAAGTGGGAACTATGTGGACTTTCTGTTTTCCTGCCCTATTTTCCCAAAGACTAGAAAGAGCTGTCAGGCAGGGAAATGTCATTTTAGGAACTCAACTATTTCACCTGCATTCTGCAAAAGCCTAGGGCAGACAAAGTAGTTGTAAGGTCCGTTTGGACCCAGAAGTATACTTAGTCTGTCATATACTGTTATGTCGACGAGAAGGGTGGTCCTAAAGCTGCAGCCCATTTCTTGTAGCAACTAAAGTTGAACAGTCCTTATGAACTTCCCCTAACTGCTGGTTACATTCAGTTGTTGTCAGTGTAATGTCCGAGAATGTACTCCCTTTGGAGATTTACTTAAAGCTTCCAATCGCTTTAGTAACCTCAAGTGTAATTGCTGTCTGTATCTTCTCAGGCCCTGCTGGAAACAATATAGTCCATATCCTTACATTGATTTTATTACAATATATTGTCCTTCTGGCCCTCATGTTACAGCCAGAGTCTGCAGTGCATGCTTTGACAAATCATTCCCCCTGGAGTGATATTTTTAGGTAATCTTAAAAATTATGCCAGAGCCAAACTAACTGTAAACGGATAAAGGAAAAGGAAAGACGACTCCATCCATCTCAGCCTGCTATCTAACTGACCTGTGATGCCCGTAGATACTATGGTGATGGTTGCTATAGGGATCCCTAAGCTAAATACTGTATGAATGGCATCCATCTGAGTTAGCCTGAGGTTAGGTAGTGACAAGAGAAAAGCTTAATGCATCTGAGAACTGTATTACTATTGGAAAGAGT